CTAAATGGCCCAGACTTTGTCACTGTACATGTTGCCAACCTGGCTTGCAACAACCTTGTTAGGGTGATGTTTCTCCATGAAGCTTTCCATCTTACCCCACATAGTAAAAAATCTCTTAAATTTCTGAAGAAGGCACCTTCTTCCATCTCTCTTCCTCCTCCTCTGCAGCAAGATTCTGAGCTGCGATGTGTTGCTCTTCCTGCTGAAGCTCTTGCAGCTCCTCAGTGGTGAGCTCTTCATTGTGGTCTTCCACCAATTCTTCCACATCCTCCAAACTCACATCCAACCCCATGGAACTTCCCAGTGCCACAGTTGATTTTACAACAGACATAGGCTCATTAGGGTCAGTCCCAAATCCTTCAAAATCCCTCTTGTCGACACAATCTGGCCACAATTTTCTCCAGGCAGAGTTCAAAGTCCTGGTAGCCACTCCCTCCCAAGCCATACCTATAAGGGTTATGCAGTGGAGGATGCTGAAGTGTTCTCTCCAAAATTCCCTTAGGGTCAAGTGAGTGTCTGTGGTCACAGTCAAGCACCTGTGAAACATTGCTTTTGTGTAGAGTTTTTTAAAGTTTGCAATAACCTGCTGGTCCATGGGCTGGAGGAGAGGAGTGGTATTCGGGGGCAAGAACTTTATTGTGATGAACCCAAACTCCTCGAAAATTAGGTCATCCAAGTTTGGAGGATGAGCAGGTGCATTGTCCATTACTAGCACGCACTTGAGATCCAATTTCTTTTCCAGGAGATACTCCTTCACACTAGGCCAAACACTCATTGAACCACTCGACGAAAATTTCCCTCGTGACCCATGCCTTACTATTAGATTTCCAAAACACACACAATTTACTCTTCATAACATTGTTTTTCCTGAACACTCGGGGATTTTCAGAATGGTACACTAGTAATGGCTACACTTTGAAATCCCCACTAGCATTAGCACAGAACATTAGCGTCAGCCTGTCTTTCATAGGCTTGTGTCCTGGCATTGCCTTTTCCTCTTGTGTAATGAAGGTCCTCTTTGGCATTTTCTTCCAAAAGAGGCCTGTTTCGTCACAACTGAACACTTGTTCAGGTTTCAGTCCTTCAGCCTCTATGTACTCCTGGAATTCATGCATATTTTTCAGCTGCCTTGTGGTCCGAACTGGCAGCCTCACCATGCCTTACCACACTGTGTATGCCAGTACGGTTCTTAAGTCTCTCAAACCAGCCTTTGCTGGCCTTAAATTCACTCACTTCACCACTATTTGCAGGCAATTTCTTTACCAAATCTTCATGCAACTGCCTAGCCTTTTCACAAATAATCAAAGTCATAAGAGTATCTCCTGCTAATTGTTTCTCACTTATCCACATCAATAATAACTTCTCAACCTCTTCCAGTACTGGTGATCTCATTTTTGTCAGCATAGTTACTCCTTTTGCAACAACAGCATCCTTTATTTCCTTTTTCTTGGCCACTATGGAACATAAGGTTGTGTAGGGTTTCTTATACATCCTGGACAGTTTGGCCACACTTGTACCACTTTCATATTGTTCAATGATGGTTTTCTTAAATTCAATCGTATTTCTCAAGATCTTTACCACAGGCTTGGCACTAGGAGCTTTCTTTGGAGCCATGGTAGCTTATTTAGTACTTGCAAGCACTAAAATAAATGGAATATCATGAAATATTTCGCTGGAGCAAGTGAGGGGACCTTCGCTCACTGGTAAACAATGCCAGACTGGCTGCCGCCCCGGCTCACGCAGTGGGTACGCGTCCTGGATGAACTACGACTCGCGAGTCAACCTATGAAAAGCGAGTCCATGTTTATACGAAAATACCCCTATGATTGGCGAATTTTACGATTGCCGGGAACTACGAAAAGCGGGAGACCACTGTAGTGTGATAAGGCATGGTGAGGCTGCCAGTTCAGACCAAAAAGCAGCTGAAAAATATGTGCAGGAATTCAAGGAGTACATAGAGGCTGAAGGACTGAAACCTGAACAAGTGTTTAATTGTGACAAAACAGGCCTGTTTTGGAATAAAATGCCAAGCAGGACCTACATTACTCAGGAGGAAAAGGCACTCCCAGGACATAAGCCTATGAAAGACAGGCTTACTCTCTTGATGTGTGCTAATGCTAGTGGTGATTGCAAAGTGAAGCCTTTATTGGTGTATCACTCTGAAACTCCCAGAGTGTTCAGGAAAAACAATGTCCTCAAGGCTAATTTGTGTGTGCTGTGGAGGGCAAACAGTAAGGCATGGGTCACTATGGACTTTTTCTATGACTGGTTACAACATGCATTTGCCCCCACTGTGAAAAATTACCTCCTGGAAAATAAATTGGACCTTAAGTGCCTCCTGGTATTAGACAATGCTCCTGGTCATCCTCAGACTTGGCAGAGCGACTTTCTGGGGACATGAGCTTCATCAAGGTCAAGTTTTTGCCTCCTAATACCACTCCTCTCCTGCAGCCCATGGACCAGCAGGTCATTGCAAACTTCAAAAAACTCTACAGAAAAGCTATGTTTGAAAGGTGCTTTGTAGTGACCTCAGAAACTCAATTGACTCTAAGAGAGTTTTGGAGAGATCACTTTAGCATCCTCAATTGTGTAAACCTTATAGGTAAGGCTTGGGAGGAAGTGACTAAGAGGACCTTGAACTCTGCTTGGAAGAAACTGTGGCCAGAATGTGTAGACAAAAGGGATTTTGAAGGATTTGAGGCTAACCCTGAGAAGCTTATGCCAGTTGTGGAATCAATTGTGCCATTGGGGAAGTTCTTGGGGTTGGAGGTTAGTGGGGAGGATGTGGAAGAGTTGGTGGAGGAGGACAATGACAAACTAACCACTGGTGAGCTGCAAGATCATCTTAACAGCAAGAGGCCAGACCTGAGGAAACTGCTCCGGAGGAGGGGATAGAGAAATTGAAGAAGTTGTCTACTTCAAAGATTAAGGAAATGTGTGCAATGTGGCTTAAAGTGCAAACCTTTTTTGATGAAAATCACCCTCACAAAGCTATTGCAAGCTGTGCTGGTGACTATTACACTGACAATGTTGTGAAACACTTTAGGAATGTCATAAAGGAACGGGACGTACAGGCCTCTATGGACAGATATGTTGTGCGACAGAAGTCCAGTGACTCTGAAGCTGGTCCTAGTGGCATTAAAAGAAGAAGGGAAGTAACCCCGGAAAAGGACTTGCCACCAAGTCCAAATGGAAGGGGATTCCCTTTCTAAACACTAACACCATCCACACTCTCCCCTCCTCCCATCCCATCAATCATCACCAGATCTTCAATAAAGGTAAGTGTCATGCAATTGTGCATGTCTTCTTCAGTTTGTGTGTATTAAAATTAATATTTCATGTGGTAAAATTTTTTTTTTTCAATACTTTGGGGTGTCAGGAACGGATTAATTTGATTTCCATTATTTCTTATGGGGAAAATTAACTTGACTAACGATTATTTCGACTAACGATGAGCTCTCAGGAACGGATTAATATCGTTGTTCGAGGGTCCACTGTATATGTAATAGGTGGTAAGTTACTAAATGCTGTAAAGAGTAAACCTCATAGCCCAGTTGTACAATGCTGGACCTACCATCATTTAGGACTACAGTTTGAGTTTCTGTCCATTGAACTATGTTTAAAATATCAAGTTTAATAATATTTTATAGAATATACTCACCTATTCTTGTATTGTCTCCTGTTTTTTTGCACTCCCTCACCACTCTCTTAATTTGATTTATAGGTTGGTTAAAACACTACAGCCACAAACACCACTCAACATGTGAGGAAAACATTGTTTCAGCTATGAGAGGCGTGTTTCTATAGCACTGTTAGCAAACGCCAGCAAAAACCTGTCTCAAAACCAGAAAAATAACCATTTTCATCATTCCATACTGTAATTTTGAAACACTGGACTTGTTTTAGTTACAATGGCTCGGCATCGGACATAACTGGGAGAGCTACAGCCTACCCCACACCCCAAACTTATAGCTCTCGTCACTGACCTTCAGTTTACAGGACAGAGGGTGGATTTTGGAGACATTTTATGAAAAAAAAATGTGTATAATAAACTGCAAAATACGGTATTCATTATGGAATAAGAGAACATTCTCTCATACATGAAATCTTACTTGAGTGACAAATACCAACATGTGGCTATTAACCTGTAAACGGTCCAAGCAGATCTACGTTCACATGCGTAGTGCTCCAAAAGTAGATCAAAGTTTTTTTTACACGTTTTCAAATGTACAAAAAAAAAAAAAAAAAAAATCTGCTTTTTTTTACATACTTTCAAATGTTGAAAAAACGTATATATACGTTTAGACCGTTTACGGGTTAATGACTGTCCTTCAGTAACATGATTGATCAACATTGAGGGCTCCACATAGTGTCCTGGGCCCTCTGCTATTCCTAATCTACCTCAATGACCTTCCAAATGCTTTGCAGGAATTTAAATCAATTCTGTTTGTCAATGACAACTTTTGTCATTTCAAATCCTGATCCAGCTACACCCAACAATACAATATATGCTGAGCTTGCTAAAATAACCACCTGGTTTATAACTAATAAACTCTCACTCAAAATTCACAAAACCTTTATATAATGTTTGGAAATAAAGCCAAAGGTGTTCATTTTAATATAAACAATACACCAACTGATGAGCAGGGTGAGGGGAAATTCTTGTGAATAGGGAATTGAATCTGTGCTCCAGTTCCCTGAATCGAGCCTGAATGCCTTCCATCCATCCCCCCACAGGTGCTGTATAATCCCTAAGGGTTTAGTGCTCCTCCATAATAATAACTGTGAATACTGGCAGCAAACTAAAATTCAATACACACATCCAGAACATTTCTAATAAAATTTCCGAAACAGTGGTTATTCTCTTGAAAATACGCTTTTATATCCCTCAAGCATCCCTGTTCATTTTGTACTACAGTGGACCTCTGGTTTTCGTATGGTCCGCATATCATACAATTTGGTTTTAGAACACTTGGGTGAAATTTTGGTCCGGTTTTCATACCTTGTTTATTGATTGTGACTGCAAAATAAGCCACTATGGGCCCAAAGAAAGTTCCTAGTGCCAGCCCTATGGTAAAGAAGGGGTGGGGTGATTGGCCAGGATGTGGAGAAGTTGGTGGAAGACCACAGGGAAGAGCTAACCACTGAAGAGCTGCAAGAGCTTCATCTGGAATAGCAACAGGCTGCAGCTGAGGAAACTGCTTCAGAGGAGGAGGAAGAGAGGGGGGAGAATGTGCCTTCTTTAGTGATTAAGGACATGTGTGCAAAATGGAATGAGTTGCAAACTTTTGTTCAAAAATATCACCCTGACAAAGCTGATACAAGCCGTATCTGCATCACATTCAGTTACAATACCTTGTCCCATTTTAGGCAAATCTTAACCCCAGAGAGGGGGATTCCCCTTCCGAACAATAACCCCGAACTCCCTTATCCCTCCTCGCCCTCGTCAATATGCCAACAAGTGCCTTCAATAAAGGTATATAATGTTCATTTATTATTAAAATTTAGTCATTTATATTTATATCTCATTGTTTTCTGTATGTAAAACTACAGTTATTCTTTAAAAAATATTTTTGGGTGTCTGGAATGGATTAATTGTATTTACATTATTTCTCATGGGAAACATTAATTCAGTGTTTGTACGTTTTGGTTTTAGACCGACTGGCCTGGAACGGATTAAGTACAAAAGCCGAAGGTCCACTGTATCTGGTTTAACCCTTTGACTGTCGCAACCCCCAATCCTGAGGTGTCTCCTGGTGCTGCAAAATTTAAAAAAAAAAAAAAATTATTTTTTCTTATGAAATGATAGAGAATCTTTTCCCGATTGTAATGACACCAAAAAAATGAAATTTGATGGAAAACTGACGGAATTATGCTCTCGCGAAGTTAGCGACCTCGGCGCTGTTTACAAATCGGCGATTTCGCCCACTTTGAGCCCTATTTTCGGCTAATTCCATTGTTCCAGTCGCCCAAACTCATAGCTATTTCTTTAGAACTCCATATTTTCTATCGATTGAGTACAAGAAACTGCCCATTTACCGATTTCAACTACCTAATAATGTGGTCAGAAATTTGCAATTTGGCCAATTTCACAAAAACTAAAAAAATATGACAATTTCAAAATAAGGTCCAGAATGAACAATGCAGACATTCCTGGCTCTAAAATAACATTTTCTTTGCTCATCAGTCATGTCTCCAGGCCCCTCTGATATTACTCTTGCTTTCTATTTTGAATTTTTATTCAAACAAAAAATAGAAGACTTACTATTATGCAGACTACTGCAATACTGTAATAATTGTATAAATAACATCAACCCATTCATGACTGCATATTAGAATGGCTAGTTGGACATTTATTGGACAATGGCATCATTTGTTTACTTTTGAACATTGGCAAAAATCAAACATTTCCCCTACTTTGAGCTCCATTTCTTGGTTCTTTTTATAGTAAAATCAATCAAAATCACCTCTATTTCTATAATATGTTTTCCATTCTATCAAATGAGACCAAGAAAACGAGAATACAACCATAAATACTATACAAAAATAGACCACAAAGTCGGCATTTTAATTAAAAAAAACGGTCGGAGTTTTTTTTTCTCATTATGCACTGCGTGCTCCAGGATTTTTTTATATGGTGCACACTGACCACACAGACCCATTCTCTCACATGTGGGCCTACCAGCTTTCTCCTGCTTGATTTGAAGCCGCTAGAATTTATGAGTATATATACGTCAAACACGGTACCTCGTAAGACGTATATATACGGCAGCGACAGTCAAAGGGTTAAATCACTCCAATTATCATTAGCAAAACACTATGAATATATTTTTTTTTAAATGTCAGATGACTCAAACATACACAAACATTATTTATTTATTTTTTATTTCTAGCATGCATTCATAATACTGTAATATATAAAATACCAAATGTAGTGTGTAATAGTTCAAATAACAACCAAATTATTACAGCATTTTATTCCAATGCTTTATGTGCAAATATATATACAGTGGTACCTTGATTTACGAGTGCCCCAACTTACGAGTTTTTTGAGTTACGATTTTTTGCTTTGAGTTGCAAGCCAAAATCCGAGTTATGAGTGAGCTCCAGATACGCTAGCACTAACTGGCTGCGTATCTGAAGACAAATCAAACTCTGTACCCAGAGGAATGTCAGGTACTTCGTCCCATCCCACATGCTCTTCCAAGACATAACTGGAAGGATAATACTCCCACACTAATCCCAGATCATAGGGAGGCACCTCGTCCTTTGTTTGGTTCTCGTATAAATCGGGGGAAGAGGTAATCTCCATTTCAGTACTCAGAGTTTTTCCAGAAACATTAAAGCCATGGTGGTGGGTGGAGTAGTGATAGTGGGGGTGGAGTACTGATAGTGATGGGTGGAGTACTGATAGTGGTGGGTGTAGTGATGGTGGTGGGTGGAGTAGTGATGGTGGTGGGTGGAGTAGTGAAGGGGTGGATGGAGTATACAATATTTCTTATTTATAAATACATTTTTCTTATTTAAAAACCTGTAACAAATTGGGGTGATTTTTGGGGGGCTGGAATGGATTAATGGCATTTCAGTTAATTTCAACGAGGAAAATTGTTTTGATATATGAGCAAATTGAGTTACGAGCTCGGTCACGGAACGAATTAAACTCGTAAGTCAAGGTACCACTATACACTATGTATATACTATATATACTACATATATACTATATATATAATATATATAAATATATATATATCCTGATAATCTGGTTATATAACACCTTCCTGATACTGGTATGAATATTTTTTGGGGTTTGCCAAAGTACTGGTGGGGATTGGCTAATTTTGATGGCATCGGTTTCTTCCTAAAATTTATTGTCAGTATTGGTAAAAAATTTTGAATTGCCCAAACCCTAAAAATATACATAGTTATTATTAATATAAATGTAAGGTGGGTTTGGCACTTCCCCATGAATATAATATGACAATACAGTACATAAAAATAAAAAAAAAGTATATGATCAGTTTTATGCAGTGTATACAGATACAGACAGAAACAAGAATAACTAAATTATAATTTTCTTTACACCTAAATGTGTACTTATAAAAACAAACTAATATATGATGCTCATCTGAATGATCAGCGCAGGTTATCAACTTAAAAATTAAGTGTAACTGCTCACTAACATGTCTTTATGATCCAATATTTTATGAAACAAACAAAATATTGTAAATTTATTAAAACAGTATTCCGTATTTAAATGAACCTTTGCTCAACAGACAATTCCCACCCCATGTCCACATCATGGGATACATAAGAGATAATAATATGTACTGAAAATGAAACTATCAAGATTTTATCTTGAGGGGAAGGAAAATTTCATACAAAAGTTAGACTGAGTTCAGCAAGTACCCATATACTACATTTTAATTATTCAAACCACCGAGCAAGTTAATTTTACTAAAATAAAACCTGATCTAGACTTTGTCTATAAGAATCATGCCAGAATGATTTTTTTTTTCAAGTGGTTTTCAAGAAATCAATTTAATAAAATTTACCTACAGTCACATTTACATGCTTACACATATGCATGTGCTCACACGTGGCGGGCCAAGAGCAAAAAACTTGACCCCTGCAACCCAAATGGTGAGTACGGGCTCAAAACCCCAAACTTGCTAGTCATTGGGTACTCCATTTCTTTATAAGAACCCATAAAAAAAACAAACAAAAAACAGATTTAAATCTTTTCTTCCTCATACATAAAGGGCCCAAAGTTTTATTTCTTATTTAAAAGCCCCTCCTTTTTTTTCTCTAAACTAGAGCAAATATTTCTTTTTAAGCAACGCCTGCGAGTTGATTTTCCAACAACATACTCCTGCAGCCTCAATTTCTTAGCCCCCCCAAAGAAATCGTCAGCAATATCCCGTGGTTCGTCATCATCACCCACATCAGCATCTGTTGGTTTGAGTGGTTTCTTGAACAATATTTTTGGGGACTGATCACTACAGCCTTCATCAGTGACGTCACACTTACTCTCCTCTTCCCCATCTTCATGGATCCGTCGTTTCCGTAACTCATCAAATAATCTGAGCCCTACCTGCTTATTCTCCATGTCACTAAGCAGCTTCGTATCCTTCATATTGTATCTTGTCCACTTTTGTGGATTTTTCACATAATCAGGAGTGGAGTTCCTGGCAGCAGACGCCCCACGACCTCGTCCACGCCAGCTGACAACACTTGTTAGTGGTTTACCAAACACATCTTTGTCTCCCTCACCACTTGTAACATCATCTCTACTTTCTGATAGACTTCTTAGTTGAGGCTCCAGATCTACGGCAGCTGTCTGCAAGGAGCTGAAGAGAGCATCTACACGACTGTTGAATCCCGAATCACCGGATTGTAAACGAAATGATGACATAGCGGCTGCAGGATTGTTGCTGGGATTATGGTGTTTGTTGGGTTTATCAGGGCCACTGACGGCTTACGCAATATCGAGCCCGACTTCCCGATGTCCGAGGATGATTTGTTGCATAAAGCTGGGCTATGAAAGAAATAAAGGAGCAAGAGTTCCCTTGTTAGGAGAAAAAGAAACTAGAAGTACAAAATTAGATCAAATGGACCCCCTGACCAAGCCCCGGCAAAGCGAGACGCCCACGCCCCACCTGAGTTTAGTAACCGGCTTCCCATCAAAACCGTTAGAGAATTATCCGCAGAGGAGAAATGGAAAATGTCTAAAAGTAAGCTGATGATTCAAATTCAAAGTTTATTCTCTATAAGGATTACAATGCTGAATTTACAGAATTTGGTTATTGTGTGGTTTACATGTAGTAAAATAATGATTACAGAGTGTACCACTAGAACACCTAGCATGGCTAGGCATTTCGGGCAGACTTAGTTTAATTCTTAATTTTAAAATATTACAAATTATGAGGTAAGTTGGTATTATGGCTAAGTGACTAAATACTAGTTTGTGAGTTTAGCAATGTGAATGCTTTTGTTTTGGCACAGTACATAGTTTCAGTATTGGAGTATCACAGGATTCATTATTTTAAGGTTGAGATTAATATTTCTGTTTATGGTCAAATGGGTGAGTGAGTGTAAGTGTGAACCACCAGGTGGTATTCGTGTAGTTAGTTGACAGGGTGTATCAGGGAGATAAGATGTTTTCTAATGGTAGTTTTGAAGGTGATGAATGTGTCTGCAGTTCTAGAGTTCTCAGGTAGGGTGTTCCAGATTGAATTTTTGTAAAGGTTTAGTCGGACACGGGGAATGTCATAGAGATGTTTGTGTCTGGTGTTATGCCTGTGGGTTCTGTCACAACTATCAAGAAAGCGTTTTAGGTCAAGGTTGATATTGGAGTTTAAGGTCCTGTAGATGTAGATTGCACAGTAGTAAGTGTGGATGTACTAAACAGGGAGTAAGTTTAGATCTATGAAGAGTGGGGGGGGGGGGGGTGTTGCCAGGGATGGGATTTAGTGATTATTTTTACTGCAGCTTTTTGTTGGGTTGTTATTGGCTTTAGGTGTGTTGCTGCAGTTGATCCCCAAGCACAAATAGCATAGGTGAGGTATGAATAAATAAGTGAGTGGTATAGTGTGAGAAGGGCATTGTGGAAAATACTGCATATATTTTCAGGAAATACGGTAATTTATAAGTAAATATATTTTATTTTTATTTATTTATTTATTATCAATTTGAGCACACATACAGAGGTACAAAAAAATACAGATAAGAGCAGCATGCCAAAGCCACTTATACTATGCATAGCATTACGGGCTGGCTTAAAATTAACTTAAGATTAACTAAGCAATGATGAAATCAGTGATAAAACATTAATGTAAACAGATTACTACTAAGCACAAGTGAGTATTACAAAGACAGGTCATATGGTTGCATTCAGTCATATGAAGGATTCTGTTAGGTAGTGTATTTAAAAAATAATAAAGTTAGATTCGGTTTTAGGTTTAACATTTATGTGATATAATTGTGAGAAACATTTAAGATATACAATTTATAAGGTTCAGTTATTCAGTATTTATTTGGTTTTGGGTGAGTAAGTGATCTTTGAGTAGAGACTTGAATTTATAAACAGGTAGTGTTTCTGTGGAAAATATTTTAATTTTCCGAAACTATAGTGCCTAATAGGTGTTTAATGTGTCTATATGGGTCAAAAATGTGTTTGAAAATAGAGTAGAACCAAGAGTTCCCTTTGCGCATGCGCGGATGTGCGGGGGGTTTGGGGGGAGGCGGATTGTTTTGAATGTGGTGAGGAAGCTGGGAAAGCATGGAACCACGAAATTGGCATTCACGGCAGCCTAAGGATTAATATAGGCCTCATTTCATAATAGGAAGTGTCGTAACTGTTCCTGGTGGAGAGTGAGGGAACGTGATTTACGGGACCACGGTAATAGAGTGGTAAAATGAGTGAATAAGGGTAGGACCGGGTGACTGGCGCGTCACTATGGACTGTGTCCTGGGGAAAATTACCCTTGGTTTAATCATCACTCATCGGTCTCAGATCTTAATGGAGTGATCTCTAATGTGTATAATAATTATGAGACATTAAATCATCTTGTGAATTGTAATGTAATTAATGATAATAACGTTGAGTTAAGAGAATGCGGGATGTGAAATAGATCGCCCTGCTCCGAGTGAATGTGTGACTCGTACCGGGGATAATGAAGATTTATGGAATCACGACTTCTAAAACCCGGGACGAACGACGGATACCTCGTCCTGCCGGGAAAAAGAACCGTGTCGGTGTAAGGGCATCGAAATGAGATGGGGAATGGAGGAAATAAGGAGTATCAAACCCCACATTAAGTAACCCTTTAGTTATAACAGACTTGCTGGGCCCTT